GCACACACGCACACACGCACCCCACACGCCGCCCACACACACGCACACGCACCACCACACACACACACGCACACACACACACACACACACACACACATACACACATGTGATTTTGCAGTTCCAGGTTTTTGCATTCGCGGCCTTGCTGTCAATCAGCAGGTCCCAGCCAGTGATTACTCGCCGGCACCTGGTGATCGCCGAGTATCTCTGTCAGGGGAGAGACCTGTGTGTAAACATTACAGATCTCTCTGCTCAGCTCCTACACACTGCTTTGTATGGCTATGATTAACAGAGCCATACAAAGCAGTGTGCTTACAGTGAAAACACACACAGCATACATAGTAAAACACACACAACAGCACTTTGATTGCCCAGATGTTAACCTCTTCCTGCCCAGTGCCATTAGTACAGTGTCAGTGCTTTTTATTAGCACTGATCACTGTATTGGTGTCACTGGGGATGTCAGTGACACCAAATCCCCCCCCCCAGTGTCATAATGCCCTCTGCTGTCCTGCTATAAGTCACTGATTGCCACCATTACTAGAAAAAAAAAATAAAAAATCCCAGTATATATACCACCATTTGTAAACGCTATCAATTTCATGTAAACCAATTACATTTACATGTATTGGGATTTTTTTTTTTTTTTTTTTTTTTTAGCAAAGACATGTAGCAGAATACATTTTGGCCTAAATTTAGGACAAAATTTTATTTTTTTAAAGGACAGGTTTTATAGCAAAAAGTCAAAAATTTTTTTTTTTTCTCAAAATTATCGGTCTTCTTTGTTTGGGAACGCAAAAAAAAAAAAAAAAAAAAAGCACAGGAGACCAAATACCACCAAAAGAAAGCTCTATTTGTGGGAAAAAAGGACATAAATTTCATTTGGGTGCAGCATTGCATGACCGCACAATTGTCAGTTAAGGTAACACAGCGCTGTATCGCAAAAAATGGCCTGCTCAGGAAGGGGGGGTAAATCCTCTGGTGGGCGAGGGGTTAAGAAAAGTGTGGTTGTGGATGGTCCCTATGGCAGGTATCCACCCAGTCCCCATAGCCGACTTGTCCTTCTGTAATGCAGATGAATGTGGAGCCGGGAGCCCGGACTGTAGACATTGATCCTACACATGGTGACAGGCAGGAGGGGTAAGCAATGACAGCAGCAGACAGACGGACAATGTCCCCTGCAAGGAACAGGCTCACTGAATAATTCAGTCCCGGCTGGGAACAATGAGCGGAGGGTGTGCTGTGCAGGGCGAGGATCACATCCCAGCACCATCCATCCACAGCTACGACCACTGCCAGCCGGGCCAATGCAGGAGCTCCAGTGCGCAGGCGTCTGTCCATATGACGTCATCCCCAAGGATGCAGCAGCAGCACAGAATCAGCCAGCATTGCCCCCATGCTGCCAGCAGATCCCGATGGTGGGGATCCCTCCATGGTCACACTGTACACGGGCTGAGCTCTGCTGGTGCACAGGATCAACCATCTCCGGAATATACAAAGCGAGGAGCTCACACACCGCTCCTATGGCTGGGAGAAGAAAGGGTTAACACCAGCTCGTGGGGCACCGGGGCCCATGTGGAGTCACATGATGGGATCGGACTCAGAGGAAGACTAGCAGCCACCCTGGGGAGGAGGGGCCCCCACATTTCTAGTGAGGCCAGAAATGCATGCACCCCCAACCCCCCCCCCCCCCCCAACCACACACCTGAGCAGCAAGATAATACCACCCCCCCTCCAAATCTGTGTACAGGTTATCCCTCCATCCGTGTCCCCCACCCAAAACCCCTCCCCCTCACAGCAGATGCACAGACTACCCCCATCCTCCTCCATACATCATCATCCACCCTACAGACAGCAATGGGATGATTCATAGCCTCCTCTGTACACACATCTATAGGAGCCACCAGATTCATCCCCATCCCCCAATACCTGATGTATGAACTGGGGGGGGGGGTCCTACATAGACTATCAATTCTATATTCACAAATAAATCTGCTGTATGAAATGCCGGTCACATTCCCCCTGATAGTAATCATCGATCTCCCATAGACAGGCAGAGGCTGATCGCACACAGAGAGGTCATATGATCGCTGGATTTATCAGTCTGTACATTGAGGTACACAACTCCATCCCCCCCCACCCCCGATTCACAACCCCAACCCCCAATACACAACTCGCCCCCAATACACACAACTCCCACCCCCCCCCCCCCCAACCCCCCAACTCCATCCCCCCCACCCCCAATACACAACTCCACCCCCCCAATGCACAACCCCCTCACCCCCAATACACAACCCCTCACCCCCCCCCACCCCCAATACACACCCCCCCCCCCAATACACAACTCCACCCCCCCCCCACCCCCACACAACCCCCACAAATACACAACTCCATCCCCCCACCCCCAATACTACAACAATTTCCACAACTCCCCCCCCCCCCCCAATACACAACTCCATTCCCCCCCCCCCCCATACACAACTCAATCCCAATACACAACCCCCTCCCCACACCCCCAATGCACAACTCCATCCTCCCCATACCCCCCCCCCCCCCCAATACACAACTCCATCCCCCCCCACCCTTAATACACAACTCCATCCCCCCCCCAATACACGGCAATCTATGTATATCCCAGATTGAACCTCTACAGACATCAACCATCCATGCCTGCAGGGCTTCAGGATGACAGATTTTCTACATACATGAGCTCATGTTCACAGATGGTGAATGGACAGATCTATATTGTATAACCTCGATATATACTCAGATTATATATAATATATATTATATATAATATATATACACACACACACACACACACACACACACAGTGCACATATGCATAAACACGCATACATATACTTACGCACACACACATTATTATACGCACACATATACGCACACATACACACACACACACACACACACACCATACATATACATATACACACACACCTATATATGGATATATAGTCACGAATGGTCTGGAAGGATGTGATGAGTACAGAAGATACAGAAATGTAATAGATAACGATACACAGACAATAAACTGCACAGATCCAGCCATGTTCTCTGCCCTCCTACCACACACGACAGACACATTGCCAGATGTAGTGTGACCACATGGAAGCAATTGTCGGGAATGACTATACAGACGATCAGCCATATGTTCACCGATGATCTGTCGGGATGGGATCAATACATGGCAGATACACAGATCTACTCGTGTCCTACACCCCTCCAGACACAAGGATTACGGATCTGTCCACAGATGGCCACATGGAAGCAACTGTTGGGGGGGATCCAGCACACACAGACCATCAGATGTGATCACAGGTGGACTGGGAGGGGGATGTGACACCATCATAGAAGGAAGAGAACTGAATACATCGAGGACACAGATCCGACATCCTCCCATCATCCCACCTCACTGATACATGCACAGGGCAGCATGGAGCAATACATGTATACAGAGACATACATAGAAGATTGGCCTGGAAGGATGGGATCCATACATAGATACACAGATCTGGGTCCTACAACCTCTCCATACACACAGATCTGCCGGCTATTACTGTATACACGGACATCTACAGAACACGAGGCAGATATTCACACATGGCCTGGAAGGATGGGACACAGAGAGGAATGATATATATGGAGAGAGACATACACGAGAAATAGTCGGGTATAAGATCAGCTACACACACATCCATCGCACAGATACATGGAGTATACACTTCTATACACACCCATGATGGACATACGTACAGAACTTGTTATATGCACAGACTGCTTCACACAGGACTATGGTGCACACACATCCATGGACACCTATAGATCCCAACCCCCCACCACCCCTACAGACCAGACACCATCATAGAGATCCATCCACACAGATCCATGGGGTACACAGATCTGTCAGAGATACACAGGGATCACACAGCACATCACACACACACACAGAGATCTATCAGAGATACACAGGGATCACACACACAGAGATCTATAAATGGATACATAGGGATCACAGCACACAGAGATCTATAAATGGATACATAGGGATCACAGCACACAGATCTATAAATGGATACATAGGGATCACAGCACACAGATCTATAAATAGATACATAGGGATCACACACACAGATCTATAAATGGATACATAGGGATCACAGCACACAGATCTATAAATGGATACATAGGGATCACACACACAGATCTATAAATGGATACATAGGGATCACAGCACACAGATCTATAAATGGATACATAGGGATCACAGCACACAGATCTATAAATGGATACATAGGGATCACAGCACACAGATCTATAAATGGATACATAGGGATCACACACACACAGATCTATAAATGGATACATAGGGATCACAGCACACAGATCTATAAATGGATACAATAGGGATCACACACGGGGATCTATAAATGGATACATAGGGATCACAGCACACAGATCTATAAATGGATACATAGGGATCACATACAGATCTATAAATAGATACATAGGGATCACACACAGATCTATAAATAGATACATAGGGATCACACACAGATCTATAAATAGATACATAGGGATCACACACAGATCTATAAATAGATACATAGGGATCACACATAGGGATCATTATGATGGATACACAGGGATCATACATACAGGTATCATACACAGACACAGATCTATGATGGACACAAAGGGATCACACACGGGGATCATTATACAGGGATCATACACAGGATCATGATACAGGGGATACATAGGGATCACTATACAGGGGATCATAGATAGGGATCATTATACAGGGGGATCATAGATAGGGATCATTATACAGGGGATCATAGATAGGGATCATTATACAGGGGATCATAGATAGGGATCATTATACAGGGGATCATACATAGGGATCATTATACAGGGGATCATACATAGGGATCATTATACAGGGATGGCCACCTATGGCTCTCCCTCCCCGGACTCACCCCGATGACGATGGTGTCGTCCCCCTTGAAGAGCGGGATGAACTTGTCTCCTCTGTGGATCTCGGCCCCGTTGAGAGGCCGGAAGCGGCACATCACCTTGATGCTGCACTCGGCGGGGTCTGCCATGTTTCTCCGGGGACGGCGGGTGTGGGCTCCGCGATGGAGGGATGACAATAGGAGGGAGTCTCCCCGATCAGTCAGCCGGATGACAGGCCGGACACTACATGGGTGCAATCACTGGTGGTCCCTCCCGGAGATCAGCCCGGCCATCCCGCATCATCAGCACCACCGCCAGCCACCTTCTCCTGCCAGCTTTGTGACTTCACTGCATCACCGGGCCCCGCCCTGAGATGCTCCCCCCCCATGCCGCAGGGCATGCTGGGACTTGTAGTGTGGGGGGTGGACCGGCAGGTGCGGGGGGAGTCCAGGATGCTGCATAGAGATGGATGTGCAGATTTCCCTGTAGTGTCACCCATGGAGAATGGAGAGTGAAAGGAATCATATTCCGTTGTGTGTCATTACAGGGGGTCCCCCCCCCCCCCCCGGGGTTATGTCACCCCTCCCCCCCAACACTGGACATTATCGGAAGTGTAAGCTCCGCACAGCAGCACCCATGGGTGACAATCCCATGTTCCTATGTACAGGGCTAGCCCTCATCTCATACAGCCTCAGGGACAGTTCACACTGCATGCGTTTTCAGTTGCTTTTTTTCTGCATCCAAGACGCACAGAAAGTAGGTTCTATGGTTGTCAATGTCATAGTTCACATCAGGGCTTGCAGTTCCAGTGCGTTCCGGATGCAGAAAAAAAAGTAGAACATGCTGTATTTTTTTCTGCACAGAACTGATCTGGAACATAGTAAACTGCGTCAAAACAGCACCAGAACCGCATGCGGTGTGAACTGTCAGCAGAAACGTATCTGGAATGCACCTGGAGTGCGTGTTTGTGTGAACTGGGCCTAAGGGCCGAATTCACTCTATAGAAATACAGTCCAGTTGTGTTCCAGATGCATTTCTGCATGCATGTTATGACCAGGGGCGGACTGACCATTTGGAAACTCCGGCACTGCCCGAGGGCCTGGGGTCATTAGGGGGCCCCATGAGATGCCCCTGTACCTTTTTCATAGGCTTTTTTGAGTTTGGGCAAGGACACAGGGGCCCCATGATCCCTATTGCCCGGGGGCCCCATGAGTTGTTAGTCCACCCCTGGTTTTGACACATTTTTGGCACATTCTGGTGAGTTTTTTATGCATTTTTGATGCGTTCCAGTGCGTTTTTTATGCATTCTGGTTCATTTTTTCCCCTCTCTTTTTCGGCAATTTAAATAGGGACATGTGCGTTCCGGTGTGTTTTTTATGCGTTTTACAGCATTCCAGTACATTGAACGCCAGTAAAATCTACTGAACAGGGGCGGGCTGACAACTCATGGGGCCCCCGGGCAATAGGGATCATGGGGCCCCTGTGTCCTTGCCCAAACTCAAAAAAGCCTATGAAAAAGGTACCAGGGGCATCTCATGGGGCCCCTACTGACCCCGGGCCCTCGGGCAGTGCCCAAGTTTCCAAATGGTCAGTCCGCCCCTGCTCCTGAACGCAAGTTTGGTGCGTTCAAAAAAGCGACTGTAAACTCAACTGCCTGTAAATGACACAGTGTACATGGGCACATAGGAAAACATTAGGGAGAGGTCAGGGGCTGCTGAGGAAAACGCAGAAGAGCTCCTGAACGTGAGTTTATCAGATGCAGTGTACAGGGAGCCTAGCTGTGGGCAGAAGATGTGCCTGACATATGTAGATGACAATATCTACAGGTCTTCATGTTGTAGGTATAGCTCTCCGGATATGACAAGCCAGGTGGGATGGCATTTTTCAGAAGAGGAAAACAAGCTAGGTGGCATAAAAGTGCCCAGGATGGATGCTTGTCAGCTGGAGAAAACCAGCAACTTGTGTCTGCAACACCTTTTATAAGCTCCTATTAGTGTTTAAAATAGGAAAGTTCTATTTTCTTGTTGTGACTATTTGCTGGTATTCTCTAGAGTAGGCGGTTACAAAAGTGGCAGTTGTATCACCTCCCTCCTCCCCCGAGCCCCTAACCTGATTTCTATGTTTAGGAATATCCAGGGGCGGACTGACCATTTGGATACTCAAGCACTGCCTGTGGGCACAGGGTCAGTAGGGGGCCCCATGAGATGCCCCTGATACCTTTTTCATAGGCTTTTTTGAGTTTGGGCAAGGACACAGGGGCCCCATGATGCCCTATTGCCGGGGGCCCCATGAGTTGTCAGTCCGCCCCTGGGAATATCCATTAAAAGGTCTTTCCTATTCCTTTTTCTGGCTCTGACCATCCCCTGCTGGATAGAAGAGCTGTGATAGCCTTTCTCCAACAAAGGTTTAATATTGTGGCACCCCTCATTGAAGGCAAATTCCCTGGGACAATTACATCTGGTATGGACAATCTCCCCATAGGGACTTGCATTGATGGTGTGGGGTGGGTGACAGCTGGCTGCACTGAGAGTTGTATCACCAGAGAATGTCTTCCTAAACGTCCTGGTATGAGGCTAGGATCACACCCATGCAGGTCAAGTTTCTGCATTTGCATTTTTGCTGCTTTTTGATTTTTTTTTTCTAACCACTTCAAATCTGGATGTTTCACCCCCTTCCAGCCCAGGCCAATTTTCAGCTTTCAGCGCTATCACACTTTGAATGACAATTGCGCAGTCATGCAACACTGTACTCATATTCATTTTTTAGCATTTCACAACTTTATTTTGGTGGTATTTATTCACCACTGGGATTTTTATGTTTTTTGCTATATAAATGAAAAATTCCAAACATTTTGCAAATAAATAATGTTTCTTCATAAATCTTGGCCAAAATGTATTCAGCTATCTTTTTAGTAATAAAAAAATAACCCAAATTAGTTTATAACCAAAAATTATAATTTTGACATTTTTATTTTATTTTTTTATATTATTATTTATGGGTTTTTTTTTTTTTGTTTTTTTTTTACATACTGTCACCCTAGCAGTCACCATAGTGACACTGTACTACTTGTGGGGGGTGAGATTTTTTTTTTTTTTGCACTGATTGCTTTTACACCCATAAAGGCTGTAAAAGCAATAATGTCTTCTTCTCTCTGGCTGCATTCTTGCAGCCATTGAGAATTACTGTGAGAGCTGTGATTGTTCACAGCTTGTCACATGGTACAAGACTGTTGTGAATAGCCTTGTACCATGTGACCTCTGTGATCATTCACAGATTTCACTCGTAGTAAGCAATGATGTCAGAAGCGACATCTTGCTTACTACTATTTATGTGATCACTGATTGGCCAATCAGTGATCACATGATCGGGACCTTACACAGTCTTTTTTAGCCACTATTCCATGCTATGCATGTGCTGTTTGTTTTGTTCCGAATTGCATTTTGGACGAATTTTTTTGTTATTCGGATATTCGGATGTATCCAAATAATGAATTACAAAAATAACAAATTTAAAGGAATCCAAAATAACGAAAAGAAATTTGATTAAAAAAAACGCAATAAAAAACAAATTTGAATACAAAATCAAACTCCTACTAGTTATGGCCTCTTATAGTCGCTGCCTGTGCTAGCCCTGGATCTGTGATTCTTCTAGTTTCCCTTTCCTCCATGTTTTCTTTCTGATTCCCCTTTTTTTTTTTGTCGTTTTATTTTCTTTTTCCTTCCTTCTAACTTTTTTTCATTCCTCTTCTTTTTCTGGTAATATGTTGGATTACTGCTGCTATTATTTGGTTCGGCTTTTTGCTGTCCCTCCTTGATGTCATTGGACATTTCGTTATTTGGGTATACAAGTCAGCAGGATGTATCTGTTTCTGTGTTATTGTTCTGCTCTGCCCCTGTGTGGGCGTATCTTGAGCTTTGTAGTCCTAAAACAAAACTTTATTAATAAAAATATTGAAACAGAAAACAAAATCGAAAACAAATTTGAATTAAAAAACAAATGCGAAAAACAAAATCGGACATTCAAAACAAATTTAAAGTTCCGCTTTAAGGATTGGTCCCCCGCCCCGCCCCCCGTTATTTTTCTAATTCGGTTGAACCAATTTTGAATACGAACAACTTTTCAAGTTTCGAAAGAGTTGAATGCAAATATGAATTACTGAAATGAATCCAGAAAATGAATTGTACGAATTTAACGAATCCAGCTACACAAAATTTGTTAGATTTGGAAACAAAAACAGATTTTTTTTGTTTTGGACATGTCCATTCCATACTACTGTTCCCATCAATTTCAGTTTCCAGGTAAAGGGATTTATCTTTCCTTGATATCTCGGATGCAGCACCAGACCAGGAATCAAAGACTGTTCCATTGGTCTTGATATTAGAATGAACAGGCTGCATAAGAACCTGCAACAGCATATCCTGGCTCACTCACGGTTGGTGCTCGGTAGACAAGTCACATCTCCCTCTGTATTCGTGAGCACACAAATGATACAATTCATGGTCATTCTCCAATCGTAGAATCTAATCAGTCTTCCACTGATCCATTAGAGTTGAAATGAATGTTGCAATTGTGACCCTTGAAAGCAAACAGAGGCGGCCTGACCCTGCCTGCTCCAGAGCTGCAGCCATCACATCCATCAGCGAGGACAGAGCTCACATGGCACAGGACACAGCTCCGGAAATCATTATACAGAAATTAGGAGTGAATTAGTGGGTGAGCTCATTCTGTTGGGGAGGAGAATTCAGCAGACTTTCCCATCACAATGCTTAGGATAGGGCTTAGGTAGCGGCAGCTGTGTCTGTTACAGAAACACGAAGACCCCTACAGACTAAGAGCTGCTGAGCCATGTTCTCTTCCTAGGGTGACAACGCTGCTCAGTGTGGTCAGCCTAGAGCAGGAACTGTGGTAATGGCATGAGAAAAAAAGACTGAAAAAAGAAAACAACTGCAGCCACCACATCTAAGGACTGATATGCTATAATACTATCAATTTTTGTTCTTACACTTTAAAGTGTTAATAAACCCACAACAGTAAAATCAGTCTGTATATGCGGTAAAGCATGCTTGTTTATTTATTTCAGGTACTTATATAGCGCCATCAATTTATGCAGCACTTTACATATATATTGTACATTCACATCAGTCCCAACCCTCAAGGGGCGTACAATCTAAGGTCCCTAACTCACATTCATACATATACTAGGGACAATTTGGACAGGAATCAATTCACCTACCAGCATGTCTTTGGAGTGTGGAAGGAAACCGGAGTACCCGGAGGAAACCCACGCAAGCACAGGGAGAACATGCAAACTCCATGCAGGAGGTTCCATGGTCGGGAATCAAACCCATGACCCGTTTACTGCAAGGCCGACATGTTAACCATTAAGCCACTGTGCCATCCTTTGTTATACTCACTGTGGAACCTAAGGGGTTAAGCCTCTGCATTGTGTAAAAACGCTGTTTGATCCTGACTTCTCTGATCCTCACCTTCTTACAGTGCCCCCCCCCCCCTCTTATCTCCTGATAAGACATATCGTGTGGAGACACTCTGCATATGCTCAGTTTGGTTTGTATTGCTAAAGGTTTTTTTTTTTCTTGGGAGAGCGCATGTGATCAGCACAGGGCCAATCAGCGCTGTCCAGACAGAGGTCAGGGGTTCTGCATCCTTCTAGAGCAGAAAGAAAACTCCTCCTACAAGCTTTAACCAGTCTCTGCTGGACACTGATAGAAGTCACAAGACTGCTCTAACTGCTGAAGAGAAAAGGTATTTAGCAGTTTATATTTACTAAAATAATTGCATTTCCATGTTCTGTGTACTGTGGGAGACCAGATATAGTGAATGCAGGGTCCGGGGAGATCAGATATAGTGAATGCAGGGTCCTGGGAGACCAGATATAGTGAATGCAGGGTCTGGGGAGATCAGATATAGTGAATGCCGGGTCCGGGGAGACCAGATATAGTGAATGCAGGGTCCTGAGAGACCAGATATAGTGAATGCAGGGTCCGAGGAGACCGGATATAGTGAATGCAGGGTCCGGGGAGACCAGATATAGTGAATGCAGGGTCCGGGGAGACCGGATATAGTGAATGCAGGATCCGGGGAGACCGGATATAGTGAATGCAGGGTCCGGGGAGACCGGATATAGTGAGTGCAGGGTCCGGGGAGACCGGATATAGTGAATGCAGGGTCCTGGAGACCGGATATAGTGAGTGCAGGGTCCGGGGAGACCGGATATAGTGAGTGCAGGGTCCTGGGAGACCAGATATAGTGAGTGCAGCGTCTGTGGAGACCAGATATAGTGAGTGCAGGGTCCAGGAGACCAGATATAGTGAATGCAGCATCCGGGGAGACCAGATATAGTGAGTGCAGGTCCGGGGAGACCAGATATAGTGAATGCAGGGTACGGGGAGACCAGATATAGTGAATTCAGGGTCCTGGGGGACTAGATATAGTGAATGCAGGGTCCTGGGAGACTAGATATAGTGAATGCAGGGTCCTGTGACACCAGATATAGTGAATGCAGGGTCCAGGTGACCAGATATAGTGAATGCAGGGTGCGGGGAGACCAGATATAGTGAATGCAGGGTCCGGGAGACCAGATATAGTGAATGCAGGGTCCAGGAAGACCAGATATAGTGAATGCAGGGTCCGGGAAGACAAGATATAGTGAATGCAGGGTCCGGGAAGACAAGATATAGTGAATGCAGGGTCCGGGAAGACAAGATATAGTGAATGCAGGGTCCTGGGAGACCAGATATAGTGAATGCAGGGTCCGGGGAGACCAGATATAGTGAATGCAGGGTCCGTGGAGACCAGATATAGTGAATGCAGGGTCCGGGAAGACAAGATATAGTGAATGCAGGGTCCAGGGAGACCAGATATAGTGAATGCAGGGTCCAGGGAGACCAGATATAGTGAATGCAGGGTCCTGGGTTGGGTAACACTTTAGGGTTGTAAATGTTACAGGATTATGGGTGATCTGTATGATAAAGATGCATCCTGCTGTATCTGTATCAAAGAGAAGAGCGCACAACATGTGTTGCTCACTTGTATTCTGAGTTTATTGTGCTGAACAGAAATGGATCACATTATACAGATAAATCCTTTCTGAATGGTGGCAGAGCAGGTCACATGGTAAAGCACATCAATTTGTATTAAATAATTATCATTACTAACATATAGGATACTAAAAAGAGAAATTGAATGTGAGAACAAACAAAACTGAACAAAGATAACATAAGTAAAGCATAACCTGTATCAAAGAAGAGAGCACAAACACATGTTGCTCACTTGCATTCTGCGTTTAATGTGAGCTTGTGGGTATTAGTCTCCTGAACCCACACTACAAATCATTAGAGCTCCCTCCAGCTGCAGCCTAGTGATAACATTACTGGGAGTTTTATTCATTTACTTGCTACATAAACCATAGTAACAGTTACACAAATCCTTGCTATGCCAATCCAACATACTTGGCTGCACCATCTCACGTAAAACAAATCTATATAAAAAAAAAACAAAAAACAAACAGCACAGACTACACTATCTGGGGAATTCAGTAAAGCACTACAGATAGTTTTCTAGCGCTACGGCCCTTTAACCCCTTGCCTACCGGGCACTTTTACCCCCATCCCACCCAGGCCAATTTTCAGCTTTCAGTGCTGTCGCACTTTGAATGACAATTGCGCATTCATGCAACATTGTACCCATATGAAATTTTTATCCTTTTTTTCACACACATTAAGCTTTCTTTTGGTGGTATTTAATTTCCACTGGGTGTTTTATTTTTTGCACTATAAGCAAAAAAAAGAGCAAAACATTTAAAAAAAAAAGGTTTTTTTTGTTTCTATTATAGAATTTTGCAAACAGGTAATTTTTCTCCTTCACTGATGTGCGTTGATGAGACTGCACTGATAGGCACTGATAGGCAGCACTGATGGGCACTGATAGGCAGCACTGATGGGCACTGATAGGCAGCACTGAGGGGCACGGATGAGGTGGCACAGATAGGCAGCACTGATGGGCAGTGATAGGCGATACTAATGAGGTGTATAGAAAACCTTCAGCGCAATAAAATATCCTAAAAAAAATTGTGCAGCTCGCATATAATGTGTTCCCCCACATGTAACAAAGTAAATGAAATGAAGAAATGCAGCGCAGCAAAATATATTGTTTATATATTGTTGCGCTGCATTTCTTCATTTCATATACTGGTGAGGTGTCACTGAGGATGCTGCACTGATATGCAGCAATGATGGGTACTGATGGGCGGCACTGACAGCACTGACTGACGGCACAGATGGGTACAGATGGGTAGCATTGATGGGGGGCACTGATGGGCACTGGTGGGTGTCACTGCTGGGCACTGGTGGGAGGCACTGCTGGGCACTGATTATTAGGGCACAGGTTATCAGTGCCTTGATGATCAGTGCTGACCTGTTCTATGATAATTGCTGGTTATCGGCAGTACATTCCTGACACTGTTGGATGAGGAAAGAGCAGCCAATAACTGGCAACTGTACTTCCGCAGTGATCTGCTCTGTCATTGTCTGTAGGACACAGCGATCATGGAGATGGCCGAGTGCGCACTGCTGGGGGCATGCGGGAGGGCGCATTTTGGGAGCACGTCATATGATGCCCTCCCTAGACTGGACAACCGCGCTGTAGCCGTCATTCAGCTATAGCGCAGTTGCCAAGTGGTTAGAATAGCCTGTGGCAAAGGTTCAGAAATCCCTACCGCCCGTTTCGTTAGCTTTACCGATATGTGTGGTACACAATTACTTTTACAAAGTGGAGATACTAATTCACCAAATTAAAAAATATATACCTCCGGGTCATAAATGATGAAAATAGAGGTAATTAGAGTGGTTGTAATTACTAAAGTTATTTTTATCTTAATACATTCTCTGCATTAAGGTAACTAAACTTGCATTGTCTGTCCCTCCGTCCCCCCCTTCCTAACACTTATCTGAGTCCTGTATTGATCCAGCACTGTGCCCGGCTGCAAGTCTTCTCCCCCCATTTCCTGTTCTCATGGGCTTTGCTTACAGCAGCAGGAGCTATTGGCTGCTGCTGTCAATCAAATCCAGTGAGGAGGGATCGGGGGTGAAACGCACTGTGTGTGTCTATGGATACACAGAGCCCGGCTTGTAAGCAGGCCCACATATCTGCCCCCACAGCAAGTGGAGGGGCTGCTACATGATTTATCTGCCTTTACTCAAGATGGCTAGAAATGCCTAGGGGGTGTTTTTCAAAGTGATTTCTCAGCAAAATACCAGGGCCCCACCTGGGTGCGTCATTCATTCACAGGGTTCTGTGAATTGGAAATTTACAAGTATTGACAGCCTTTGTGGCTAATGGCTTGTAGTTCTCAATGAACTACGACGGCACTGTTGAGAGCACTGGGTAGTTCATTGTTTCTTCAAGTCATTGTGTTCCTGCCTGCCGGTACGAGGTATGAGCGGACAGCTACACTGACAGTCTGCAGGGGGCCTGCATTGCACCTGTGATTTGCTGATTGCGGGTGCAATAATTTGCAGGCTCCTAGTAAAAAAAATAATAAATGCATTTTTTATTTTTTTTTTTACCTGCAAAAAGATGTGCATTTATTATTATTATTATTATTATTATTTTATGAAGGTGAACTGATCCTGTGACATGGATGAGACAAACCTACCACTAGATTGCAGCTAATCATGGCTTGAAAATGGCTCCCTCTAGTGGCCACAAGTGCTCTCTGTCTGAATCCAGTAGTATAGGAGATCACCATTGCTGACCTGAAAACACTAGTTCCTTGGCTGACTCTGGCCTCACTACTTTATGAGTCACCAACCCAAAGCAAGCATGCAGCTAGTGAAATCTATACTCCTGATTCAAAAACTTGTTATAGGTCAGCAATTCAAAAAAGAAATGCAACAGCCAGACAACAGGTAATTTTAACCACTTGCCTACCGGGCACCTTCACCCCCTTCATGCCCAGGCCAAGTTTCAGCTTTCAGCGCTGTCGCACTTTGAATGACAATTGTGCATTCATGCAACATTGTACCCAAACAAAATGTTTATCATTTTTTTGAGACAGATAAGCTTTCTTTTGGGGTATTTAATCACCTTTGGGGTTTTTTGTAAACAAACTAAAAAAAACTGAAAATAAAATAAATAAATACAAAAGTTTTTTCTTAGTTTCTGTTATATAATTTTGTAAATAAGTAATTTTTCTCCTTCACTGATGTGAGCTAATGAGACTGCAGTGATGAGCACTGATAAGTGGCACTGATGAGGAGGCACTGATAGGCGGCACTGATGGGCGTCAATACATCACTAGTGGGCATTGACAGGCATCACTGAAAGGCACTGAAATTCAGCATTCATATATGGCACTGATAGGTGGCATTGATGGGCACTGATAGGCGTCATTGATTGGAACTGCTAGGCAGCACTGACGGTCACTAATAGGCTGCACTGATTGGAACTGTTAGGCAGCACTGACGAGCACTGATAGGCTGCACTGATTGAAACTGTTAGGCAGCACTGACAAGCACTGATAGGCTGCACTGATTGAAACTGTTAGGCAGCACTGACGAGCACTGATAGGTGACTGACTGCACTGATAGGTGGCACTGATTGGAACTGTTAGGCAGCACTGACAGGGACTGATAAGCGGCACTGCTGGGCACTTATAGGCGGCACTGACTGACACTGATGGGCAGCACTGAAAGGCAGCTCTGGGCACTGATATTTGGCATTGATGTGCACTGGTTGTGACATTGATGGGCACTGACAGGTGGCACTGATGGGGCTACACTGATCATCAGGGCTTTGATATCAGTGTAGATGTTCCCTCTAAAGATTGCTGCTTAGCGGCTCTCCTCTCCTCACACACGCTCTAACTGGCATTTCCTATTTACATGGGATCAGCTGATCACATGACAGCGCCTGTGTCATCATCTCTTTACTGCGATTGGTCCCAGGGACACAGCATACCAGCAATCGCCCCACGCCCCCCGGGGTTGCGCATGCACAGCTAGAGTGGGAGGGGGCCATATGACATCCTCCCAGAAGGAGAGGCCCCCGCCCTCCCATCATTTCCTTATATGGCGGGCGGAGGCAATGAAAGGAAGAATTCAGGAAAGGCCCTCAACATGGTGTCACACTTTGAAGATTC